ATAATTATCATAATTGCCATCCATAAATTAGCACACAATTTCTCACTCTGTGCTCACTCTCTGAATAATGGGCCAACGTAATCAAGGTATTATTAGTGAGCTAACACGCAGCCACATACATGCACGTGTATGTAAGTAAAGCAGGTGTGCATACTGTTTGTGACAGTGTGTGTGTATGTGTGAGACTGCTGTACAACATTATTAGAGGAGACAGTGGGTGTGTTTGACAAACAGGCTTGTTTTGTGTTTTAATTTAACTACAGTCAGCCATGACAGACTCATTAGGAGTTCGTGGTGTGAGACTGCAAGTGTGTGTATGTGAGTAACAGGTTCATTAGCAGCGGTTAGCAGCGGTTCCTGACACAAGGTGTGTTTGAAAACTGCCTGAATTTGCAGATTTGGGCAAAACTGTGGCGGATGTGTATAGTCAAATACAAAAATTAGCTTAACTGTCTTTTTCACCTCTTTTCCAACAGAAAATGGCAATTAAGTGCTGCAGAGTTTTTGAAAAGTCATTCAGATGACATTGAAAAGCAGTATTGTAATAGTAAGTGAGGTTTCTGAACTGAACAAATAGAGTATACATGAAATCAAAAACAAGTCAAATATCTGCTTGGTATAATAATAATAGCATTAATATTTTCAGTAATCGCTGGGATCGGATATATAGACAATGCTGAATAGGATGTAGAATCACACACAATTTCTTAATATCAAATTATATGATTATTGCCAGAGTCCAGTATCTCTTAAACATAGTTCTGTCAGGACCACCATCGTCAAAATGATAGATACTTAGCATAAAGTTTGGTTTGGCGGTATGGTTCTGTTCTGGGCAAAAACCTCCCTGCCCATCCATGCACCCTGTCATGAATGAGCAGGGAGAACAGCAATAATAACCCCCCCTAGGGTTAACAGAACAGAACAAGGCAGATATCATTAATGTACTTAATGATATTTAAGTGTAACACTTTATTCAAGATAAAGGAGTCTGATTAGCAAGGAATATCAGAAAGCCAAGTCCTGACTGTGGCGAAAGGAGGAGCTGGGGATGGAGAAGGGTAATTTGCTAAGCAATGAGAATGAAATAAGAAACTTAGCAGGAAATGTTGCTTAATAATATATTTATGGGGGAAGCATCACCCCAAGCTCAGCAAGTGAGGAACCAGAGGAAAACTACTGTAGTTACAGTTAGTGTATTTTTTATTTTATTATTATTATTATTTATTTTTTATTTTTTAAAGAGCTGCTTGTACTTGCTTAGAACAATTGGACTATATTTAAATCCCTTGTGTCCATTTGAGCGCTCAGTCGTAACCTTCCAATCACCACCGAAGTGATTTTTTTATTTTTTTTATAATAATAATCAAGGTCACCTTGCACAAAATGAACAAAAACAAACAGAGCAATCAAACCAAGAGAACAATACAAAATAAATACAGAACATAGTTAGAAATAGTTACACAAATTGGAAAGCAGAATATAAGCAGAGGCAGCAAATGCAAAACAAAATTGCAGAATCAAATATAAAACATAAGCAAAGAAGAAATTATGTATAATAGTATGTTAAGAAACTTGGACTGAATATTATATCAATTTTGTATATTAACACACAGGACATGTCCTCCCAAAAGATCATTTTTTCATATGTGAGAATAAAGGAAGAATAAAGATCAAGAGCTAGTCTGAGAATTGTGTTGTGAACAGGTGATAGAAACAGCCGTCAAGGAGGTGATGAAATATAATGTGGCCGGAGGCAGTAAGAGGTTAAGTCATATTGTACATTATTAGACATAGACATAAGAATTCAACTTGATTTAAGTGTGGATGAAGCATGTATGGTAGAGCTTTTGGTTTAAACTGATTTTTTTTGTATGAAAGTTTTTTTGTATATAGTATAGACCACAGTTATAGCTGCTTTCACCCTCTTTTTGCTTCAATCTTGTTTGCTCTTTCTCCAAAACCATCTTTTTCAATTTTTCTCAGATTTTCTCCTTTCAGTATTTTTTTTTTCATATGTGTTTTCAAGTGGTGCCAGGTTTCTGCCAAGTGCGTGTGTGTGTGAAATTAAGTCACTTAAATCAGACATTTTTCTCATGCAAATTAATTAATTTGGCATTTTGGACACCTGTGATGCAACAGGAAGTGAAGATGATGCTTATGTAAGGCTTCCTGTGGTTATACAACTGCTTGACTCTGCACATAGTCATCTCTTTTTGTTGTTTTCTCTCCCTGTCTCGCTCTGTCTCTCCCTCTCGCTTAGCAATATGTATCGCACATTTATTCCACCTCCTACTTGCAGGCTTTTTCAAAACTTCCTTCTCTCCTGCAGACAAACTCTATTGCGTAGTGCATTTGATTTTTGTCGGGATGTCTGCTGAGATTGTTAGTGAAGGCAAGCATCTATTGGTCTATCTACATCTAGTGTGTGCACAGCAAAATGCTAACAACCAAACAGAACACCTTAGCAACTGTGTAGCAACACCCTGACAACAAATCCACCTAATTTTTGCATTGTTGCTGTGAGTTTTGCATGGGCACTATGACAAAAAAAGGTGTTACGATGATTTTCGTTGGTGTTACGATGAATGTAAACTCATTTTTGGCAAATAAAAAAATTACAAAAAAAGTTTTATTTATTGTTATGATTTCAAAACCTGCGGTTGCGACTTTTAATTAATTGCTTAAATCTCATCTCATATTTGTCTATTTTTCACAGTTTTCCTATAATTATGACTCAATTATAGGCAATTGCAACTATTTTAGGTAATTGTGATTCTCTCACAATGGCAACCGTTTTTCGTAATTGCTGCTTTCTCTCAATTGCAACTATTTCTCATAATTGTACATTTATATCTCACAATTTTACTTCATATTTTGCAGTTTCGAATTTATATCTCATAAATGTGACTATAACTTTATACTGCAAAATGTTATATCTCACAATTGCGACTATTTCTTATTAATGCAACTTCTTTACTTGTTACTTCAATTTCATATCTTACAATTGACTTTAGTTTTTGTAATTCTGACTTTCTCACAACTGCAACTATTTCTCGAAATTGTGAATTTAACTTTATCTTTCCCACTTTTTTGACTATTTCTCATAATTGCGACTCTATACCTCAAAATGTGATGCTACATGTATATTTCTCAATTGTAACTATTACTAATACCTGCAATATCATATCTCATATCTCAGAATATGACTTTATATCTCATAGTGTGAATTTATATATTTTAAACTTTATCACACTTTATCACACCTACCTAAGGCAGAAATGGGTTTCCATTTTATTTTTCTTTAAAAACAAGTTTCATAAAATCTTGAACATGAACATTGCTCAGTGAAACATGACCGCCCTCAGTCTGCTGCTCTTAATTTTCTGCACATTTATGCATTGTCGTTCATTTTCACTGTCCAGAAATGTGATACTTTGGACACCTGTGATGCAACAGGAAGTGAAGATGATGCTTATGTAAGGCTTCCTGTGGTTATACAACTGCTTGACTCTGCACATAGTCATCTCTTTTTGTTGTTTTCTCTCCCTGTCTCGCTCTGTCTCTCCCTCTCGCTTAGCAATATGTATCGCACATTTATTCCACCTCCTACTTGCAGGCTTTTTCAAAACTTCCTTCTCTCCTGCAGACAAACTCTATTGCGTAGTGCATTTGATTTTTGTCGGGATGTCTGCTGAGATTGTTAGTGAAGGCAAGCATCTATTGGTCTATCTACATCTAGTGTGTGCACAGCAAAATGCTAACAACCAAACAGAACACCTTAGCAACTGTGTAGCAACACCCTGACAACAAATCCACCTAATTTTTGCATTGTTGCTGTGAGTTTTGCATGGGCACTATGACAAAAAAAGGTGTTACGATGATTTTCGTTGGTGTTACGATGAATGTAAACTCATTTTTGGCAAATAAAAAAATTACAAAAAAAGTTTTATTTATTGTTATGATTTCAAAACCTGCGGTTGCGACTTTTAATTAATTGCTTAAATCTCATCTCATATTTGTCTATTTTTCACAGTTTTCCTATAATTATGACTCAATTATAGGCAATTGCAACTATTTTAGGTAATTGTGATTCTCTCACAATGGCAACCGTTTTTCGTAATTGCTGCTTTCTCTCAATTGCAACTATTTCTCATAATTGTACATTTATATCTCACAATTTTACTTCATATTTTGCAGTTTCGAATTTATATCTCATAAATGTGACTATAACTTTATACTGCAAAATGTTATATCTCACAATTGCGACTATTTCTTATTAATGCAACTTCTTTACTTGTTACTTCAATTTCATATCTTACAATTGACTTTAGTTTTTGTAATTCTGACTTTCTCACAACTGCAACTATTTCTCGAAATTGTGAATTTAACTTTATCTTTCCCACTTTTTTGACTATTTCTCATAATTGCGACTCTATACCTCAAAATGTGATGCTACATGTATATTTCTCAATTGTAACTATTACTAATACCTGCAATATCATATCTCATATCTCAGAATATGACTTTATATCTCATAGTGTGAATTTATATATTTTAAACTTTATCACACTTTATCACACCTACCTAAGGCAGAAATGGGTTTCCATTTTATTTTTCTTTAAAAACAAGTTTCATAAAATCTTGAACATGAACATTGCTCAGTGAAACATGACCGCCCTCAGTCTGCTGCTCTTAATTTTCTGCACATTTATGCATTGTCGTTCATTTTCACAGTCCAGAAATGTGATACCACTCTTTTCTAGTGACTCCAGCAGCCAGTAATTGGTTATGTTGCACATCATTGCTTTCCACGTGGGCTACGGTGCCTCACAAAAGGCCTCCAATTTCCTCATTTTATTGAAGTGTAAATTCTACATTACAATTTAGATAGAATTACATAAGGATCTGTTGCAGCAGACTTGGCTAATATAAAATAGGCTTATAAAAGTCTCCTCTTTAAGTGACTGATGCTAACATTCCACTCTTTCCTGTCATAGCCAAAGCAACGGACCTCATTGTCCTCCTCCCAGGACGTCCAGAAACCCCTACAGAACCACAGCGGTGAGCCTTCAGAGGTCAGTTCATCACTCGGCTACGCCAGCTTCAGCACCAGCCCTCCTGCCAGCCCCCCCATCAGCCCCGCCAACTGCTCCATCGGATCGGTCGAAGACTACGGCCTCACTGGTACGACTGTCCTTTCTTTAGCATTTAATTCCCTCTTGCTGGTCTAGAGGACAAGATTTCTCAAATGTAATCCCCTACGACAAATAAAAAAAGACACGATTTGAGAAAACTGCTGACATGCAGTAAGAATATGGAGGTATAAAAGTGTCTAGTGTCTGAGTGAACAAATAATGGGAGCTTTGGGACAGATTCACTCTCTGTTCACAGGGATGCTGTTTCTATAGGCATTTCAGCCAATGAGGTCACACGCTGGATAAAACAACCCGACCCCCTTTACGTCTTTTATTCAGACATGTTAATTTCAGCAGGAGGCCTCTCTCTTGATTGGCTCAGAGTGCTTGTGCCAACAACAGAGTGATTCCCGCTGCTTTGAGCGGCACTACTGTAAAAGTGTGACTAAATTACTCATCAAACCACCTTTTAATGGCTTGAACGGCATTTTAAAGTACTGCTCAGTTACTCGGCACTGTATGAAACTGGCAGCGGGCATCAGAGCATGTGGGAATGTCCTTGGTCTGAATTGTTGGTAAAAAATACTGCACTCAGAGAGCAACGCAGGGAGGTTCTGCACAAGGCCTGCTGCAAGCGCACCATCTCAGCAGACGTCATTGTTTTGGCACGGGCGGTTTCACTGCCAAGGCCGCCACTTCCTGCCTGTCATCTCCTCAGCATCCACCTACGGCACTGCTGGCCGAGTGGGCAGTCGATGCCGTTTCCATGGCAATGCCATTCCTGGTACTGAGGTGGGGTAGTCATGGTGACGCTGGTGTACTTCACAGTCCGTTGGTTTCGACTAATGCTGTGCACATGCTTGTCTGGCATCCTGATCCCCTGACGCATGTGTTCAGAGAAAATGGGGAAAAGTAGGGAGGAGGGAGAGAGAGAATCTAATTATAAGAGTTACTGCTTATTCACTTTTGCCAAGTTTGCTGTTTTTAGTTTGGATACGGTCGGTAACAGTGGGGAATGTTGCAATATCTACCTGTTAAGTGCATTTTTTCACCCTTCTTTACTTTCCTCATTCAGTCAGGCAGCATCCAAAATTAACACCCACCACTTGTTAGTAAAAGTTGTACTGTTGGCAAGTCAATATTTGTGAGTTGGACAGTAAAAATATACTAAAAAACTACTTTTTCCATTAGTAAGATGACTAAAGATTTATTTTTCCTCCAGATGTGAAATAACTCTCATTAAACAAATTAATATGAGAAACTAAATAATGATGTGTCTTGACGTTTTTGCGACAGCTACAGTTTCACGCAAAACGATGGAGACTGACTCATCTCTGCAGTGAATGACACAATTACTTGCACTATTTGTCACTAATATGCAAGGGAAAATTAATGAAATAAAAATTCAGGTATTACAGGTATATATACAGTATATTGTTTATTGTATATTATATATGTATATTATATTGTAGAATTTACAAAATAAAGCACAATACTTTTTATGGCTGATAGGAAATTTTTTTCTGTCACTCCATTTTATTTTATTTTATTTTTTATTTTATTTTGCACAGTGATTTTTATGGCTGGTAATAAAGATTTATGGCTGGTAAATTCACTCCCCATTAACAGGTGTGGCAAAAAGTTCATTTAGAATTTTGCTGTCGGGCTGTCAAACTTTTCTACCATTTATTAAACTCAGTCACTTGTATAGATCCCAACGGGTGTCATTACCTTCATCTGTGTCGCTCCTGAAATCCTCCCCAACTGTACACGTGTGACAGGAGGACCTGGCAACCCTTTAACCAAAGCCTCAGTTGGCCTGTGAGTTACATGACTCTCCCTGGCCACATTACCTGCCATTCCCTCTGTACAAGACAAGCTATCTCTTAAGGAAGGCAAACGGTGATAGATAGCGAAGGAAATATCGCTGCAGCATACAAAACCCTTTTGGCACTACAGGGGAGTTTATATCTCTGTTTGCCAGGTCTCCACTGTAAAATGGGCCTTTTCATCTCAGTCACTCTCCAGTCTAACAGGGGGCTTTTCAGATGGAGGGGTCCTCTACTCTTCTCTTTGATGGCGGCTCCCTGACGGTCTGCCCTAATAAACGTGTCCTGTGTCCCACCATTGCAGGACTTTGTAATGGTAGCTTTTCATGGGGTTTTTGAGCTTGTTTCATTTGGTGGCGTGAAGTTCTGAGGTTCTTTGCCTTATTCCCTGGAACAGAAGCAGATTTTTGGGTTATCAACATTGAGACCTCACGGTATGTTGTTGATAGTACTTTAATTTCATTCTGCTGGCATACGAAGACAAAAAAGGGCCATCACTGAAATCGCATGTTAGCATCTCCTCTGGGAGGCCAAAGACATGAATTCCAAGCGCTGTTGTGATTGAAGCCGCAGATCAGAGTTGAAATCACAGTTGTGGTGGCGTTCTTGTGCATTCAACCAGTAAATACGGCCATTCTGACTTCACTTAATGGCAGCATCAGTCCAGTCTGTGGGCATCTTGGTAACGCCCTTGGGCAGCTATTTCCAGACAAGAAAGCACTGTTCTTATTTACTTGAATGGAGAAAGAATTAAATTTCTTAAACTGTTGGCAAAACTTACAATTCAATAATTTGAGTGTGCTTTTTAAAAAATATATATATTTAAAATGTTTAATAAGAATTTATAATCATAAAAATTATTAGCAGAAGAAATTGAGTTACATTACAATTGTTGAACTGAAAAATCATGAATTTCAAATAATCTTATGTATATATTACTGAATGTATTTGATGGTTACACATTTAATTACACTTCCGTACCTTACTTTTGCATTAAATTCATCAGCAGTGTCAGTAAAGACTTTTACATTGTTACCAAAAATTGCGCAATAAATGCTGTTCTTTTAAACTTTATATTCATCAAACAATCCTGAAAAAAATGTACCAGAGATTCCACAAAAATATTAAGCAGCTTTTCTTCATTTCTGAAGGTTTGTATGAAACTGAAGACTGGAGTAATGGCTGCTGAAAATTCAGCTTTTCCATCACCGTTATAAATTACATTATAAAATATATTCAAATATAAAACAGTTAATTTAATATTTCACAATATCACTGTTTTTACTTTTTGATCAGATATATTCAGTGAGCATAAAAAGTCTCATAAAAACATTAAAAAGTTTTCACCAACCCAAAACTTTCAAATGATAATGGACTGTGGACATTTGATTGGCGATATAAATAGTGTAGAATCTTAAATATTCTGTATTTGGTCAACTTTTTTTTAATGTATTTGTTTTATTTTTTTATTATTATTTTGAACCCAAAACATTAAACTTTGTCTACAATTCTCTGTTTCAATGTGAGCTCAAACTTTTAGTCCCCACTCTGCTGGTATTTTTCCACTAGACACCAAATTAGCATAGTACATTTTATTTAAAAAGAATGCTTGGTCCACCAGTCTAGAACAAAAAGACTAGTCTCTCTTAATTGAAAGGGTGACTGTCCTGAGTGTCTTACTGTCTTCTTCTGTACTGCCTCGTGTAGAGTTCTTCAAATGTCCAAGAACTATAAACGAGTGATTTGGTGTGTGCCCATGCACTCACGCAGGCATTATTGTGCGCTCTACTCGTCTTTATGACTCAGTGTGCTAACGGGGCTCCGTGGCATAATTAAACACCATCATTCCATTAAAGAGAGTTTGATTAGAGGATCTGTGTGTGTGAGTGTGTTCCCTGTAGTGCAGCCACCCACAGGGATTCAGAGATCAGAGTCCTGTGTGTTGAGTGGCTAGATAAAAATTGTTTTTATTGTCCACCCATAAACACACACACACACACATGAATATATGTGCAGTTACAACTGTATAAGCATGCACACACACACATGTATCTTCTGAACAGTTCTTGTTTCTAATGTAACAAATCGAACATCACTCTTCTGACAGCATGCAGACCCCACAGCACTTGTCAATGCTGGTTGCCGTGGAGATGTGCAGTTTGAGACAAATAGGAAAGCTACAGTGAATTCAATATTTCATAATTGTTTATGATTCCTGTGGGCATATAGGGAAGATATATGGCAATTCCGTATAAGAAAGGGTATATTAAGTAGTATATTGTGCCGGTGCTGCCCATGAGAACTGAGAGACTGACAGACTCATAGACTGACACTGGACTGATTTGAATCCATGTGCATGTAGATGTCAGACAGCAGGCCTTTTAAAATGTTCTGTGATTGACAGGTCTGTTATTGTTCTGTGGCTTTTAATATCTTTGAGTGAGTCAAAGATGAACACCCACAAAATGAAACAAGATTGTACCAGACGTGATGCTGAACCCTTGCCTGCAAACATAACCTAACTTACCCCTGCTGATGTAGCGCTCACACGCTCATACATGCCCTGCTTTATGACTGTCTTTAGGCTACACAAGTTCATTTTTTGTGCTAATTTATGTTAATGTCACTACAACTTTTTTTTGGGCTATTGGAATTTTATGCTAAATATTTAGTTGAGATGTTTGATAAAACCTGAATCACTGTTACTTTTGCTCATACTTGAATACTTGTGTTAGTGATGTGAATAAACCTCAAATTTGAAGTACACTTCAGTACGTTGAGGAAAGAAATGTTATGACTTTTCATAGTGATAGATTTTGTGGTTGGTTGCGATACGGTTGCTATTGTGTTTTTGGTGGTTTTTGGCACAATGCTATGCGGCCGTCTCAGTCTCTGTCCGGCGCGGGTGAAATAATTATAATGCTGAAGGTGAGGTACAATTCATATTTCTTCATTAAATAACTTGTAAAGTAATTTGAAAACCTTGTGTGAGACGTAATTTCACAAACAGCGTTAGTGAATCACCGCGCGCTCTCTCTCCTTCTCTCTCAAAATGCACAAATGGCTTCAAATCACCACACATCGCGTCTGTCTATAAGTGAGCTGCACGCTGCACAGTTGACACAGGAATTGACACTTGCACAATCGAGGCAGCGTCACATCGTCACTAAAGTTTATAAACTCACAGCGCACACACATAATGCCAGGTTCACATACAGAT